TCTCTTGCAGGAAATTTCCCTCCAACTGTATTGATTTCATTTCTGGGATTTGAGGTTTTGTTGTTGTCAACTATCATTTGAAGTGTTAGGGATTGGTCATAAGCAGAGACCAAAGCTTGAGAAAGATGGACTACTGCTCGGAGATGGTACAGCAAATCCTCCTAAGCTCCTGTCTGGTGCATCTTGTTCACATGCTCAAAGACACCATGATTACTGTACTTATGTGTACGGGTCAGGCCAGGGTCAGATGGGAGCAATCTGATTTTGTTTTTCTCTTTGTACGTGGTTTTTTCCTCTCCCTTTCATTTCATGGCCAGGGATCAAAGTCTGACTGCTGGGATTGCTGGGAACTCCACACTTTGTTCATTGGCGGCACATTAAGCTGCACTGTTCTTGATGTGAGGCCCATAAGACACCCTGAAGGTCCAATATTTTTGCTGTTATGAAGTGCTTGGACTTCCTAGAAAGTATCTGGATGAATTTTTATGATCCGTAACATATAGAAGGCCAGATCAAATGACCTAATACTCTCTTGTGGCCTTAATTTCTGCAAAGCTATGAAACTATATTCCCAACATCTTGGCAAATGTAGTTCACTAACTTAGCAGATTATGAACAGCGTGAAATCAGGGAATACACTTTGCCAAAATACACTAGGAATGTCTTGTTATCTATTCATACATAACTTGTTCCAGATGTGATAAACTCTTAATAGTGAGCTAGCTAGCTACACAATACATTAAGTAGATAAGCAAAAGAGTAACAGACAGTAAGCTCTCACTTTTTTAGGAAACATTTTTTCCTTAGCTTAATCGATGTACCATGTTGCTAATAATTCTCTATGGAGTGGTATTCTGCAGTCGATTATGTCTTTGCAAATGGGTGTAGATTACTACCGTTCAGATTTGTCTGCCTTTCACCAAGAGAGAAAACTTCATCATCTATCCCATGGACCACTGATTCATTCCTAGAGCTGGCGGAAAAAAAATCTCTCCCCAAGAACTCCCATTATGTTTGGGCTCTGCATACCAAACCCCACCTATCTGGGGCTGAACTTCCACATTCCTCAAACCATTTTCTGCTTGCCACTCACCTGCTGGCACCTCCTCCTCACGCACTGAGAGCAGAGTTAGCACCGACAGCGCAGATACCCCTTGCTGTTTCACCTGCTAGGGACGAGCAGGTGAGCTTCCACCAGCACAAGCCCCCCCATAGGGGAACAACAAAACAACCACGCAGAGAAGGTTCAGAGGTTCCCTTTTTGGTACTGCTGCAAAGAATTCCTTCTTATCCAAACACCAGGAGACATACAGCACACTGCTTTCTGTCAGAGTTGTTTCTTGAGACAGGGGTCCTTCTTTTCCAAAAGACGCCATACATTTTGGCACTGTCTGCATTAGTGTCATATATACAAACAGAGACAGCACAACAGCTCTGCTACAGTATTTAATTTTTAAACATGTTTAAAGAGCAAACATTACACTCTGAGCACTAGCATGGTCACCCTGCTTGAACTAACTTTTGATAGTTATTAGTGTTTAGCTGCTTCTCTGACATTATCAACAGGGATAAAATCTCTCATTGGGGAAATTAAAAAGTACTAAATGGCAGTGACTGAAAGAAACTTTGTTACTTTAAATCTTGCATTAAAATGACAAGGCAATCAAAGTTTGACAAGACAAGCTAATTAGTATGCCAGCAATGAAATGTGAAGGATCTCCAGGGGATTGGTTCTGAAAAGTTTTATGTCATTTACAGGGCTTTTTTTTAAAGCAAATGTTGTCAGCTCTCACGGTGAAATACACAACAGTGGAATTTCATTATCTTATCGAAATTAAGGACTAAACTCCCTTCACTATTTTCCAGTCCTGTTTTTTTTCCCCGTAAATACTATACTAAGTCTTAGTTTAGAGCCATGAATATAAGCTCTTCAGGACATTAGTGCAAAACAACTCTAAATCTATCAATGAGCACTAAAAATCCTACCATTTTAAGTTGCAGCATGGTACTTACTGTGTTAGGTATTTCACTGAATTATAAAAATATTCTTTTCCTAGAGAGCTTGTACTTCTACATGTATGAAAACCATATCCTTCCTCTCCAATATTTTTATTAACTGCAACTCAGCTTTTTATAAGAAAATGTTAATATAAGAAATGGTAATTTTCTGCATACTGCATCATGTACTGAAACCTGGGTAAACAAATAAAATATATGGTTAATACACATATATGTGATTTTTCCAAAGATTTACAAAAACTTCGGACATTTCTATTTACAGTCCTGCCTACCTACTACATTACACTGTAGTTACACAACTTTCTTTTTTGCTCAGCACAGACTGAAGTAAATCAACTGTCACAGCACAGAATTGGGGCCTACTTCATATAAAAAGACTAAAATCCCAGCCTTTGGAAAATGAATCATGTTGCTTATCACCATCAGAAAACTTTGCCAATATGAAGTGACAATGGTGGCAGTATCTTCCCAAAGGAAGAGCTCAGGCACACTCAAAAGCCTGGAATATTAGGAAACAATTAAGGGAATGTAAACTTAAGCCCCACATAGTTTAATGAATGTACATAACCTGGTGGTACCTTGGCTCTCCTGACTCTTCTGACAGCCAAAGATATGAGGAATGGTTTAACACCCTGGTGTCGCAGCAAGCAGGAGATATCAAGAAATTCTTATTTCAAAATTTATCCAGATGACAACAAAGAAGTATCTGGGTTAGGTGTGGAGCATGAGCCCAAGAAGAATGTTCTTGGACAGCTAGAGGAACTTAACCATGGACTGAGGAACTTAATTGAGCCCTGCTTGAGAGATGGGGAGAGGTTACAGGGTCTCACAAGGACACAGATGCCGTGTCCCTAAGCAGCCTCTCTTAGGGTAAGGATGGCGATTTCCCTGCAGACACTCCAGGTGCATCCATTGCCCATGGTGAAGCTCTGCTGAACTGGAAGGATAGTGCAGGGTGAAGAGTTGTCACTGCGAGACAGGAAGAGGTGCAAGCTTATCCCAAGACATTAAATATGCCTCGCTTCTGTGCTGAACGCTGCAGGGTCTGTCAGGAGAAGTGCAGAGTTTTATCCTACAGGGATTGCCCACATTCTGGTGGAAGCATTGTAACATTTAGTAAGCCTAAGGTTGTTGGCATTAAGCAGCCTCAGTGAGAAGGATGCATACAAAGGTCCTGCTTTTCCTTCCCTACAAGCATATCCCTGGAGGGAAAGGTGCCCAACTTACATTCCCTTTTGCTTCAGCTCTGTCAGATTTTCTCAGCAATTAGGAAGAAAAGCAAATGACTGTGATCTGTTTGGGGAAGATTCAGAGTCATATTTTAAGGCCCAGGCGTACAAAAACTGTTACAGCCAGAAGACAATATTTTAAAGGATGTCTGTCTTCTTTTTTTTTTTTTTAAAAAAAGGCAGAAGCAGAATTACAAAGCTGAGACACTGCACGCTACAACTAACAGAACCCCAGAAACACAGTATCCCATGACCTGGAGAAATATATTTCTACAAAATAAACTGTTCTTGAATTCTTTACTTACTAATGCTTGATTCTTCATTATACATATGATTACACATATACTTTCCTATTCTCTGTCATTTTAAAGTAAAAAGTACTTAAGAAAATACAGAAACAAAACAGGTTTTGAAAGGCCAAGGTTCATATTTTACTCACTTGTGAGAAAAAACTTGCAAATTTTAAAAGAACTCAGCTGTACAGTAAAAGTCTCCAAGTAGAACATCACTTTTAAAAGGTCATGTATTAAATTAAAAGTAAAATGAAAATAAAAAGTAAAATTCAGTAAGAAAGGAAGGAAAAAAACATTGAACTCAAAAGGTTAATAATCTATCCTTTAAACAAAAAAGGCAATCCACTTTTTCTCATTAAAACCTGACACACAGCACTAACTGAGGAGATTATGTTGTGAAAACATACTGCATCGCACTGTAATGCTTGATCGAGATCAGCAATCAGGAGCAAAAAGAAAGCACTGTTTCGTGATTATAATAGCAAATTCTGGAAGACAACCAAATACATCATCTGGCAGCTCAACAGCTGTTACAGCTTGGTAGTAATACCTTGGCATTTGCTATAAGCTATAACTTGAAAAAATTGATTTCTCATCTGCCAGAAACAAGAAAATGTTCTCCTTTTAACATTTCTGAAGTTTCTTTACCGAGAATACCCAGTTATTTGATCGACTTCTTTATTTTGTTTAGTTTTTACCCTTGCCAGTAAGCTAATTGTAAGGCAATTTGATTAAAAAATAAGTTTGAGGGGAAAAATACTGGACGCAACTTAAATAAACAATGTGTGTTCACATAAATCCTGTTTGGATGACACACTGGGTACTAGATAGCACAACATATTCCTGATTGTTCTCCTTGCTCATATTCACAGCTGGGATCAACTAGTCATTATCGTACTTCATACCTGCCTGAAAAGGGGACATTTCCAAAATCAAGCTCAGTGCCTTTCCATGTGTTTTGCTGTTAGTTGAGCCTTCTGTTTGCAAGTCAGAGGCAGTACAAAAAGATGTCGACTGAGACAATAATGCCGAGAATTTACAATACTTAACAAATCTAGTCTTATATTACTCCTGGGTATAGGCTAGGAAGAGGAAGAAGGAAGATGTTTATTGTAATTTTTATAACTATATAAAATCGTTAAAGCATTTCTTCTGTGTGTAGAGAGACACCCTGAAAAGATCAATTTTCTAAGCATAGAGGACTTTATTGACCTTAGAGTAAGTATGCATCATAACAAGGACATGGTCTACTTGAAATCTTACAGTATTTCAACTATTTAGTTATTTTAGGGTTAAGTAAAAGCAATCCATCATAAATATTTTAGATTCTGGCATTCCACTTAGATTTTGAAGTGTCATAAACAATATCTCTCAGAAATCAATATCCACACAGTACATCTATGGGGAAAAGAAACAACACATACACAGAGGTGGCATAAGCTATCAAACAGATCTCTACCTTTACACCTAGTGCAGTTTTCTTGGCCTCTGCTTTTAATCTTGTAGCTCTTAACATAGGCCTGGTTTTCTTGTAATCTTGTTTTCCTAGAGTAGAAAAGAACATTTAATGAAAAAGATGCAAAAAGAAGATAAAGAACGCTAGCAATTATTTATGGCGAAAAGTCAGATCTAACATTCTGAAAACATCCCACAGTCCAGCTCTTTAAACAGGAGCTACTGTAAGACAGGGGCCTGATTCGTGGAACAATGGTCCTTAACACAGCTGACGACAGCAGTAAACAAGAGCCGACAAATCAGTGTATAAACTGTTACTCCAGAACGACAACAAAATACACATACGGATAGCTATCCACTGGTACAATGGATGTACTAGTACAACTATTAAATTGTTCAGTAAGCATCAGCCAGCAAATAAGTAGATTAAAGGTAGATAACGTTTTTCCCTCACATTTCAATCAGAAGAAAATTTTCATTGTATTTTTTGTTGGTTAGTCATCTCTAATGCACACACAAATGTGCAACACTGGACATGTAATACAGGTGAGTGTAAATGTTTCATCATCCTGAACCAGAACATTATTCACAAATATCAGAACTCAGAGACATGCAGGTCAGTCCAAGTAAGTGCTTCTCAAACCGTGGCTTCACACCATCTGCTTGTAGAAACATGTTACACAGAATCTTCTAGAAGAGTCTTGGACTTTTAAAAAGTCATGGGGATTACCTCTTGCACCCACAAGGAGTGCAGCTAAGTGCTTGATTACCGTACATCTGTATGAACTGAGTCCTGAGGAGGACATGCAAGTACTTAGAAATGGCATAAATCATTTATCTCAACTTAATAATAAAGCATAAACCACTTGGTATGTCTCAGGGATTTTTTTTCAGTCTGAAGGGCCTGTTACTGCTGTACCATGTACTGTTAAACCACAGCTTCTTTAAGTCAGCAGAAGTCAAGGTACAGACGCAGTCACAAAAGGAGGAGAAGGAAAAAAGGAACTTGTGAAGAAACACCTCAGAGGGGTAGAGCCTCAGTACAACCGCTTTGGCTTTTCAAAAAAGTCCATCTCCCCCCAAAGCATACATGCCTTTTTATTCTTTTTGCCTATTCCCAAAGCTGAGCTACAATGCTTAAAGCAGGAATCTCTGGCCATTTTTAACCACCAGTTTTACCTAGTTTTACATTTAGCTTTCATCACTGTTACGTTCACATAATTCAACCTTTTCTCTAAAACTGTGCCCAGCAGTTTTGTACATGCAACGCTCCCATTAGTTCAACCAGGTGTGGACTTACATTCATAACCAATAGTGCAAGCTTCTCATTTTATGGTCACCTTCAAAACTGGGCTATGCAGTGGTGCAGTGGTGAAAGTGGTGCAGTGGTGAAATTCTGCAACACAAACTGGAAAAGGAAGGTCTTCTCCAGTGATATACCAGATTCATGGAAACACATCTCTGCCTTTGTCTACTCTTTCTATCACCCTGCTCATATTCAATACAGAACTCCTTTCTGTAGCACATTGTGGATGCTGAACTCGCATTATGAATTTGCTTTCACTGTATAATCTCTCCTCAGCCCCAGGGATTATACATTGTGAAGGTCTCTGTATTATCCTTTGGTCAGATATTATTCATAAAAGACCTGAAATAACTTACAAAATACTCAGCAACAAAAGAAAAAATAACTGAAACGTGTGGGGGGGGGGGGGGAGGGGGAATAAAAAAAAGCAAGCATGTATCCAAGGAACCTTGTTAGAAGACAGAGTGAAGAAAAGATGACAGAATGACTATTTGTATCTGATGCTTCAATATATTCATCCAGTCAGTGTATCTCACGCGCAAGACAGGACCACTGCAGCATTATTCTTCAGAAGTCAATGATATCTGATAATAGGATTGCCATGGTTTAAACTCAGCCAGCAACTAAGCACCACACAGCAGCTCGCTCACTCCCCACTGGTGGGATCAGAGAGACGATCAGAAAAATAAAAGTGAGAAAACCTGTGGGCTGAGATGAAGACAGTTTAACAGGTAAAGCAAAAACTGCACACACAAGCAAAGCAAAACGAGGAGTTAATTCATCACTTCCCACTGGCAGGCAGGTGTTCAGCCATCTCCAGGAAAGCTGGGTTCCATCATGCATAATGATTACTTGGGAAGACAAACACCATCACTCTGAACGTGTCTCCCTCTCTCTTTCTTCTTCCCCCAGCTTTATATGCTAAGTATGATGTCATATGGTATGGAATATCCCTCTGGTCAGTTGGGGTCAGCTGCACCGGCTCTGTCCCCTCCCAGCTTCTTGTGGACCCCCAGCTACTCGCTGTTGGGGAAGTGTGAGAAGCAGAAAAGGCCTTGACTCTGTGTCAGCACTGCTCAGCAATAACAAAAACATCTCTGTATTATTAACACTTTTTTCAGCACAAATCCAAAACATAGCCCAATACTAGCTACTGTGAAGAAAAATAACTCTGTTACAGCCACGAAAATGGTAAAGTCAGGAGACAAAGCCAGCCACAAAGAGAACATATTTCTTCTCCCTAAAGTACTGTAGTGATACTTTTGCTATGAAATAGTTAAAGATCTGTCAGAATTTCCATTATAAATGGCAGTTTATAACTCATAAAAATTCACTCTGGGCTGAAATTTGGCATAGATATACCCCAGTCTTGAATTTTTTTGTTTGTTTGCTGGGAGCCAACTTCTAATAAAGTGATGCAGCTGTTCTTACTTACTTGTGAACAAACTATAGAAATTTGTCCATCTGAGATGTTTTAAGCATGAAAAATACCTTCTCTTAGAAATATATAACTGACAAGGGCCAAGTTCAATTTCAGTTCTCATAATTCATGTTTGCTTCTCTCCCATCTGGGATTAAATAAAGCAGGACAGTCAAAGGTTTCCCTTCCAGTGATGCAATGGCTTTAGATAATGAAAACTAGAAAGCTTCATAAGGTTCATTAGGAATGGGAAACAAAGTCAGCTACTGAAATCCACCTCCACTTCCTCCCATTGCCCATTCTCCCTCCTCCTCTCTAAAGCTCAACTGTGAAGATGACATGAGCAGGGGTAAATATTGCACAGGAGACTCAATCTGTGAACTACATCTATTGGCAGGACCAAGTCTATTCCTAGAAAAGGGAAAGTTTATTGGTATTCTGTCCCTTGGTTTCAGGCACTCTGCTACAGATTATAGTATCATGGCTATAGCTAAAACTGGATTCTACTTATCTAGAGAATACTTCCAGATATATATATTAAACCTGATATGAACAACTAACCCTCCTATATAACAAATAGGCTATTTTAATAATGACTCTAGAGCTGGTAGTTCTCCAAATCTACGCACCTGCCATTAATTTACCACTCTCCTTGCTAAATGCAACAGCCAAAAGGAAAATAAAATAATTTAAAAAAAAAGGTAAGGAATCAGTCTGAGTCCTTCAAGTGCAAAAGTTTAAAAAGGGCATCTGTGGAGTTCTTTGTAATGAAAACCAGATTCAGCATTGTACTAAAAGACTCTTAAAACATCTGAACTTTCTGAGGCCTTGGGAAAGACATATGCACTACAGGACTATAAAGAACTATGAAATGCAAATCCCATTCCATGTGAATACTGATCATTACCATCTGGAACACAAGCAAAAATAAATACAGGCTCCCTACCTTCTTTTGGGCCTGCAAATTCAACCAGTTGGAATACCTATGTTCACACTCCCAGTGTCTAGTTTTACCTCACTTATCCTGCAAGCTTTCTTGTACGTTTATCTGCCAGAGTCATCAGCTTAAGCTGTTTCTTCTTCCCGGGAAGTTACTGTCAAAGCCAGTTAAGAGCCAGTTAAGACGAACTCATCAGACAAAGGCACATTTGTCTGCTTTACCCAATGTCTATTCAAGACAAACACCGAGTTTTCCTGAGGGAATGCAGGAAGGCAACAAGGACCCAGCAAAACTATAGAATTGGAAAATTTATTTATTGATAAATCAAAATTTTTGTATTACTTAAGCAAAATCCTTTCCTCTTCTACTCCTCATTATTGTCATCAACTCTTCTTCTAATCTCTTATCTCAAACTCCAGTGTCAGCTTTCCTTAACTGCATTTTATAATTACCTCAATTTATTTTTTTTAACAAACCTGCCACTTCTTTCTTTACAACTTTTTCCCAAATTCATAATTTCCTTTCCACTTTTAAGGCCGATGAACTACTCCACAGCCATCATCTCTCTGCTTGTTCTCCCTCCTGCCAGTCCCTCCCGTGACCAGATCATCCACCTTTCCATTTCAGTGCTCGAAGTTGCCTTTGCCCTTCAGAGGATCTCCAGAGCTCACCTTTCATCTTGCCAAGTCTTTCCATCCTTCTTCACAGTTCTTCCACACCTTTGGTGGCTAACTGACTCCAGTAGCAGCTGAATTCAGTTTACAGATACTGTGTTGAAAACTTTCCACAGTGGAAATGAAGAATTATTAAAGGGTGGTAATACAGCTAGTTTTTGAGCTACTAAACACAGCCATACTGTGAAAAATGCCCAAGTGTTCCCCTCAGAGAAAATATTGGGGACTGATAAAATATACAACATGAGTTTGTTTCTCCTCATGTAAGTAGAATTACAAGTCTACAGATTTCACAAGAATTTTTGTAATTTACTCACAAGGGAAATTGAGATCCCATATATCTTCTATTCGATAATTTTAATAACAGATTAGACATGACCTGTTCTTGTATATTCAGTATTCTTTTTAATTAAACCTCCAGTGACACCATGATTAATGCAAAACTTGAACTAAATAATACATATGAGCTAGACAAGTTCATTAAGTTCTGGGTGACCTTTTTATTTTTTTTTTTTTAAGTCTACAGAAATATGGTGACATTACCAGGTAGTATGCATACCACTGTACTTTTGCATACATATCAAGCTCTGTTTTACGTGTAACTGAGCATGCAACATGCTCAGCACTATATTTAAGAAAACTGACTACATTTAATATTGTGTTTAAAGATGCTGCCGCTTAAGATACAACTTGAACAAATCTATAGAATAACTTGGGAAAAAAAATTAGATTCCCAACCCTTCTAGATAT